CCAGTGAAATGGGCTAGCCTAGGTACCTGGTGCATCGCGACAGCATGCGTCCGCTGTCCTCGCCTGTTGCCGAGTCCTTTGCACAAAAAGATAGCCCCTGGCCTCCAGAGTTGCCCACACATTGCTGCCCGCGGCTTTTTGTGGCTCTCTTTCGGGCCGCACTTCCATTCTCAAGCTTCTCCCGCCCGCCCTGTTTCCCGCTCTAGAATGTTGTACCTGGCGCATCGCGACAGCATGCGTCCGCTGTCCTCGCCTGTTGCCGAGTCCTTTGCACAAAAAGATAGCCCCTGGCCTCCAGAGTTGCCCACATCATCATCATCATCATCAGCCTCATCATCCTCATTATCATCACCATAGCAATCATCATCATCAGTATCATCAGTATCATCATCAGCATCATCATCATCACCATCATCATCATTATCATCATCACCATCATCCTTACATTGCCGTCATCACCATCATCACCTTCGGCATCATCACCATCATCGCCATCCTTATCAGCGTCGCCGTCACCGCCACCATTATCAACACTCATGTCGGCACACCCCTCATACCTCTCTCGCGACCCCATAGGGAGCTCCACCTACGACCCCAGTGGCGCAGTTCGCATGGCGGCACCGCCCCATTTTGGCGACCCCTTCACACGTTGCGTGGCCAAATCTGGGAACTCCACCTGAGGCCCCAGTGGCGACGTTCCCATGCGTCCGCGCCACCCATTTTGTCACACCCCTTACACGGTTCGTGGCCCAACAGGGACCACCCAAGGCCTTACCACGGTTCGTAGCCCCATGCCACCTACGGCCCCAGTGGCGACGTTCCCGCGCGCCCCCGCCGCCCATTTCGGCACACTCCAGCCCTATAGGGAGGTGCATCTGAGGCCTCATTAGCGACGTTCCCATGCGTCCACGCCACCCATTTGGGGCACACCCCGCATACGGTTCGTGGCCCCATAGGGAGCTCCACCTTAGGCTCCACTGGCGACGTTCCCGTGCGCCCGCGCCACCCATTAAGGCGCACCCTTCACACGGTTCGTGGCCCCATAGGGAGGTCCACCTAAGGCCCCAGTAGCGACGCTCCCATGCGTCCGCGCCACCCGTTTCGGCATACCCTTCAAACGGTTCCTGGCACAAAGCGAGCTCCAACAGAGGCCCTAGCGGTGGCGTTCCCGTGTGTCCGCGCCACCCGTTATGGCGCATTTTTCACACGGTTCGTGGCCCCATAGGGAGTTCCGCCTAAGGCCCCAGCGACGTTCCCATGCGTCCGCGCCAGCCGTTTCGACGTTCCTTTCAAACGGTTCGTGGCACATCAGGATTCCACCTAAGGCCCAGCTGCGGCGTTTCCATGCGTCTGCGCGGCCCATTTCGGCATACACGGTTTGAGGCCCCATTGGGAGCTCCTTTCAAGGCACCAGCAGCGACGTTACCATGCGTTCCCGCGACTCTTTGATGCACATCCCTCACACGGTTCGATGCCGAATAGGGGGTTCCACATAAGGCCTCAGTGGCGACGTTCCCATGCGTCCGCGCCACCCATTACGGCACATTCCTTACACGGCTCGTGGCCCATAGGGATCTCCATTTGAGGCCCCAGTGGTGGCGTTCCCATGCGTCCGCCAACCCATTTTCACACCCATCACACGGTTCGTGGCCCCATTGGGAGCTGGAGCTACACTTGAGACCCCAGCGGCGACGTTCCCATGCGTCCCCGCCACACATGACGGCACATTCCTCACACGGATTGCGGCCTCATATGGAGCTCCACTTAAGGCCCCAGTGGCGACGTCCCCTTCACGTTGTTCGTGGCGCAAAGGGAGCTCCCCCGCACGCGGTTCATGGCACATAGGGAGCTCCACCTCAGGCCCCCATTGGTGCCGTTCGTTCGCGTCCCCGCCATTATTTTCGGCGCACCCCTCACACGTTTCGTGGCCCCATCGGGAATTCCACCGAAGGCTTGAGTGGCACCGTCTACATGTCTCCCCCATTCACTTGTTTTTGCGCACCCCTCACGTTTTATTGCCGTGCTTAGTCTCTCGTGCTCCGACCAATCGTCATCGTTCGTGTTGGGTACCCCGCCACACAGGTCGGCACGCCCCATTACACGGTTCGTGGCCCCATAAGGATCGCCACCGAAGACGATATTCACAATTGTTCATGGTTGGGTCGTTCGCCAGGCTAATTTGAAAGTTGTCGCCTTTTCAGTCCTCATCGGCCTCGCAGATTTGTACTGTCCTAAACTTCCCGAGTGCCTTCCGAGAGCCCCGCCAGACAGTTGCCGAAGGCGTCAGGCAGATCAAGAGCGCCCTGCCAGCTTGGGGCCCCCCTGAGGGCCCCAAGATGGCCCCAGAAACGCTTAAGAAGCTCTCAGTAGGCCCTCAAGAGGCCCCCAAGCGGCTTCCAAGAAGCCCCTTTTCCGAGGCCTCGAGACGACCGTGGAGAACAGCCGCCCAGATGTTCCTGGGAACATCCAGGCGGAGGAGGAGGAGGAGGAGGAGGAAGATGAGCCAGAGCAGGAGGAGGAGGAGGAGGGAGGAGGAGGAAGAGGAGCCGCCGGACCGACACACAAGCACGGAGCCGCCAGACCGACACACAGGCCCAGTTGTTTAGACAAGAAGTAAGAGCCTTTGAGTGAAGCACTCACGGCTAGGGGAGTATAGGATGCCTTCAGGCGTGTCTCTTGCGTATTCGAATCGCATGTATCAAGGATTCCTTGATAAGGAACCCCATATTCGAATCGCACTTATCAAGGATTCCTTGAGAAGGCACCCCATATCTTCACAGAGCTAGGCCCTGGCCCTGGGCCGCTAGGGGAGGGGGGGAACGCCCCCCGAGGGAGCCCACGAATGCCCCCCGGAGGGTCTCGAGTGAGACCACTGGGAGGGTCCCAGGAGGCAGAAGGGGGAGGGGGAGGCTAGGACTGGGGGGCGGGCGCCTGGCCGTCCTCCCGCAGGCCAGCACGGTGGTTGAGAGAGCGACAGGGAATAGCGGGCGAGTGGCGTCGCAATAGGAATCGGCGGCGAGCGAGGGTTGGAAGTGAGAAGGATGAGGCCTTCTCAGAAAGCGGCGGGGCTTTTCAGAAGCCATCGCGCCTGTTGCGAGGTTCTTGTGTGTCTTCGGGGATGGTCCAGAAAACTTCTCAGAAGGCCCGAGGCCTTCCGAGCCTTCTGGAAAGGCTTGCTCCTTCTCACTTCGCCCACTGGCGCGCCGCCGAATGAAGACATTGCTGATCGGAGGGGATTCGGTGTTTCTTGGGCCGTTCCCTCTCTGGAACGCTTTTTGTTGTAAAACATCACGTGTAAGGGTAACTGCAGCGAGACCTCAAGGAGCGGCAAGCTAATCACCAGAGAGACTGCATTTACGGCGCTGAGGAGGAGAGGCTTCACATGCGGTCGAAGTGCGCCTCCCTCTCGATTCCCTTGGGTTTGGAGCAGCTCGGAAAACCTCGAGCACTCAGTTCCCGACCACCGAAACATTGGCATTGTGGACTGGCGATGTGGCCTTTTCTGTCGACTGATTGGTTTGATACTCAGCCCCTCGACACCCCTACCTTTGTTTCAAATGCCGCTTTGCTCTCTGCAAAGCTCAGTGGTGTCAGACCCGCCCTACTGGAGGATGGGGGATGGGGAAGAAGTATGAAAATGAGATCGCCCATGGTGCGGATGTGGACGTAGAGCATGGATGCGAATGATACTGTCAGTAGTCAAGGCGCGCAGGCTAGCTACTGAAGTTACGTTCTGGCAAGTTTCCCCCCCTGGTTGGTGCGTGTGTCGTAAGACTCTGCTTCCAGAGTTCTGGGTCGCTTATTGAATCGCTTCGCTCATTCCGCCGGCCCGTGATATGGCGTCGCTGGTTTTTGTCTGTGTGTTCGTTGCCCATGTTGCGCTCTTGGGGGCGGGTGTCGTTCGGACGCGTTGCGTGGGGAGTTTTGATGGTGAAGCAGTTCCCTGGGGGTCGTCTCTCGATGGGGCGAAATAGAGTCGTCGTCAAGATGCTTCTTTGGGGGGCCTCTTGGGGTCTGTTGAGAGGCCGTTCGGGGGCGCCTGGGAGACATGTTTGAAGCCTTCTGGGGCTTCTTTTGGGCCTCCTGGGAGTCTCCTGGGGCCTCTTGGCGACATCTTGGGGCCTCTTGGAGGCCTCTTGGGGCCTCTTTGGGACCTCCTGGGCGCCTTCTGGGACGGAGGGCTCCATTTTTGAGTTCTCGGTATCCCTCCTGAGTCCCTCTTGGGCCCGTCTTGGGGCCTCTTGGTCCGTCTTGGGCGGCACTTGGGCCGTCTTGAGGGCTCTCTTGGGTCGTTTCGGCGCCGTCTTGGGAGCTTCGTGGGCCGTCTTGGAGCGGTCTTGGGGGCCTCTTGGGCCGTCTTGGAGCGTCCGGAAGCCGAAAAAGCCAGAACACAAAAAACATCGAAAAAAACAATGAAAATCAACGATTTTGGCCTCTTGGGGCTCTCTTCGGAGGCCTCTTGGAAGGCTCTTGGGGCGTCTTGGAGGCCTCTTGGGCTGTCTTGGGGGCCTTTTGGGCCGTCTTGGGGTCATCTTCGGCGTCTTCGAGCGCTCTTTGGGCGTCTCGGGGGCCTCTTGGGCAGTCTTGGGGGCCTCTTGGGGCACTCTGAGCGCGCTCTGGGGAGCCTGAGAGGCCGCACCCAGAAGGAAAACCATCTCTGAGTAGACTTGGTCGGGCGGCGGTCGGGCGGCGACCGGGCGTTGGTCGGGGTACTTTTCGCCGGGGGACCCCCAGGGCCGCCCCGCGCGCGCGAACTAGAAATACTGTTAATACTGTTAACCAGTTACCGGAGATCTTAGCACGCCCTGGCCCGTTGGGCCGGCGAATTATCCTGTTCCTGCTTCTGCTGGAGCCTCTGGCAGTACTGCACGCATCTAACGACAAGTGTGTTCTGTGTTCATCATGTGGAGCGGATTCTGAGGCTCTGTGTTCGATGCCCATGGCTTTACTCGACTTCCACGCATATGCACGCGTGCCCGAGGCATTAAGTGTTCATTTGACAAGAGCAGTCGGCTCAAGCGTATCCCGTCTCCCGTCCGCGTCCGTGCCGGAGGTCCCAGATCAGTCCAGCCAGCGCACGGTCGGGTGAGTTCAGATCGCGGAGTCGGAAGGTCGCTCCCGGCCACCTGCTGTCGGCCACCGCAGCCACATGTCGCTCTTCTCCGCAGCCTCGCAGCTGGCAGCGGCCCAGGACGCCACCTCGCTCGCATCGACGGCCCAGGTGGGCGCTGCGGCCGCCTCGGTCGCTGGGGCGCTCCAGGGCGGTGCGGACCGCGCGCGGGGCTGGCTGCAGTCCGTCGCCGGGGAGGCCCAGCTGCGCGCCGGTCTGCTGCACGCTGGCGGGGACGGCGAGGGCCAGGCACGGCAGGTGGCGGCGGACGGCTTGCGGTGCCAGGGTTGCGGCAAGCCGTTCGGAGTCTGGAGCAGGCGGAGTGCCTGCACCACCTGCGACAGGTTCCTGTGCGCCGCATGCCTGGGCAGCCCCCTCCCTCAGTTGGTGGGCGCCATCAGCTGCCTCTGCGCTGCGACGTGCCCCGCCTGCGCGGAGCTTGGAGACAAGGGCCGGGAGTTCCACGCCTGCAAGGCCATGATGGAGAAGGGGGCCGCGGCGACCGTGGGGATCCCCGTGCAGGCGGGCTGGCTTGGCAGCGGCGGGGACCCGCGGAGATTGAGCGCGTGGGTGAACCTCGAGGGCAGCAGCGCCGAGCTCCGGTGGGCCACGCTGCAGCAGGCAGCAGGCCGGCCAGCCGAGGAGGGGAGCATCCGGGTCTGCGACATCTTGGGCGTGCGCGGCGTGGGCGGCGGAGTGGTGGAGCTGTCTCTGCGCGGCCAGAGCGAGCCCACCACGCTCGACTTTGCCGAGGGTGGCGAACGCGACCGTTGGGCGCGGGGCCTGCTACTGGCCATGGAGGTGCTGGCGCCAGAAGGTGAGCGCGTGGCGCTCGCGGCGGAGAGGGTGCAGCAGCGGCACGTCGAGATGGAGGTGCGACGGTCAGATAATGAGGAGCGCAAGCGCAAACTCCAGGAAGGCCTCGGCATGCGCTTCACAGCCGAGGCCCTGGCGCGCCGCTGAGAACCGAGCATCGCTGGCGGCCAGGCTCCAGCAAGCTGTCCTGCCAGCTAGTGCTCCTGCTCCTCCGCCCCATCCTCCTCATCGTAATCAACAGCAGTAGCAGCAGCAGCATCATCAGCAGCATCATTGTTATCATCAGCATCCTCCTCATCGTCATTATCATCATCATCAGCATCATCATCAGCATCAACAACAACAGCATCATCCTCAGCATCAACATCATCATCAACATCAGCATCAGCACACTTATCAACATCCTCTTCATTATCTTCATTCCCCACCTTCGCTTACTCTTCTTCGTCATCATCCTCGTCATCGTCCTGATCATACTCTTCTTCGTTATCTCAACATTTATTGTTTCTCCCCTCGACGTCCCAGGGAACGATTCATGACAGCATTTGTTATGTGGTCTCGTTTTGTTGTGGCTCAAAGCCCGCAGGAGCTGCCGTTTTAGTCGGCTGGCTGACAGGTCGACCTCGTTTTCCTTTGTTAGGCGCTCTGGGTGGCCGGCTTATTGCTTGCTTGATTCATTGGCTTGTCGTTCGTTAGGTCGGCCGTTTTCATGATTGATTCGATCGGGTGGTTTCAATCGTATGGTTGATTGATTGATGTTGTTCTGTTCGGTCGTTTGTTTGATTCGTCAGTTGGTTAGCCCTGACAGTGCTCGTTTACATTGAAATACACCCCCAGGGCAAAGCTGGTCTCAGGTACGAATCGAGTGCATTGTCCAGTTCCAGATTCATTGGCTTACGCCGCACCGCCGACCCCTTGGGGCGGCAGCAAGAGTGAAAGACGGAGTTCGCGGAACGCGCGCGATCGCTGGGCAATTTTGTGGTTTTGGCCTGTTTTACGTAGCGTGTGGGGTTCAAGGGGGGGCCTTGTAGGGGACTGTTTTGTAGTTTCTCGTGGTTCTATTTGGGTTGCTTGGGGCCTTTACGGGGCCTGTCCCAGGCCTGCTTTTCCACCCCCTGGATAGGCTCGGGGATCGTTGAGACCCAGCTGGGGGTGCGTTCGGCCAGAAGTTCGAGAGTGGACCCAGCTGTGTCGACGAGTAGCTTCCTGAAGGCCCAGAAAGGGGCGGAGAGCGCCCAAGAACTAGGAGTCTCGTGCCTCGAGCCTCGATCCACCCCGTGTTCCTTTCTTTGCGAAGAGGCGGCACCGGCCAGGGAGGTCGATTCTCACCCCGGACCCTCGGTGGGGGTCCCGGGCACCGAAAACGGCTCCTGGACGCTGAATTCGAGGAGATGCTTCGGGTGGTCGACAGACAACGAAAATGTGTGAAACATCGGCATTGGACGATTGTGGCCTCTTGGGCCCCGTGGGGATGCTCTTGGTAGCCCCGGCAGTGACGAGTGTTAATCTGTATGTGTGTTTGTACATATAGTGGCCTTTTGCCAATCCCGCCACCGTGCTTTGGTTGTCGGCCTGAAATCCTTGGTGCCTGGGTAGTGGGTTAAAAGTTACTTCAAGTGGTACTTGGGGCTTCTTTTGGGTTTTTTGGGGGCCTCTTGGGGGACCTCTTGGGGGCCTCATGGGCCTTGTTGGGCGCCTCTTGGGCCCCCCTGGGGCCGCTTTGGGGCGGAGGTCTCGGATTGTTGGTTCAGGCTCCCCCTCTTGGCCTTGGGCCGTCTTGGGGCACTCTTGGTTCGTCTTGGGAGCCTCTTGGGCCGTCTTGGCGCCCGATTGGGTAGTTTCGAGCGCCTCTTGGCAGCCTCTTAGGCCGTTTTGGGACGGTCTTGGGTCTTGGGGGACAGGGGCCGTCTTCAACGCCGCGAAGGCCGAAAAGTCGCGCATGATACAAATGTGCGCTTTCCCACAGGAATTTGGCGATTGTGGCCTTGGGCCCCTCTTGGGAATGCTCTTGGAGGCTTCCTGGGCCGTCTGGGAGGCTTCTGGGGCCGTCTTGGGGCCATCCTGGGCGTCGTGGGCCGACCTTTGGGCGTCTCGGGGGTTTCTTGGGCCGTCGTGGGGGCTGCTTGGAGCCCCCTGGGGCCCCGCGGGGCCTGATGGCACCTTTGCCCCCCGTCCTTACTTCCTATGATAGCCAGCCGATGGCAGCCCCGCCGTCCTATCTGTCGAAAAACCATACAAATTCAGCTTGCTCCTCGCCATCATGTCGTCGGGTCGCGAAAAGTGTAGCAGGAATGGGACGGAATGAACATCGCTCGGGTAACCCTAAGCGGGTGGTCGCGTCCTACCCATCAGAAAAAGAATGCGGAGTCCACGTTGTTCTCGTCAGCATGGACTTTCTTGTCGTCGACGCTGCGAGAAGTGTAGCAGAAATGGGACGCGGCGCACATCGCGCGCGGACGCCTGGCCAACCCTACGCGGGACCCCCCGTCTTACCCGTCAAGAAACACAGCTACGTCGACGTTTTACCTGCCAACATGTACGTTCTCCTCGTCGGCGCTGCGAATCGCGGAGCGGGAATGGGACGCGGCGCACATCGCACGAGGACGCTTGCTCGTCAACATGGATTTTTGTTGCTGTCGGCGCTGCGGCCCGTCGGGTTGAAGCGCGCGGTCTGTTTCTCGTCGATGTTGCTCAATACGCGGCAGGAATAGGACGCAACTCATGTCGCGCGCTGAACGTCTACCCGCCCACGATATAAGATGAACGACAGGCGTCGGACGCGACGCACTTGCTTCTTATGTTGCGGGTGGGCGGGCGGGAGTGGACGGATCCTTTTGGCTCGTTCGAGCTGGCAGACTTCATCACTGTTCCCTATTAGTGCGCACCCCCTCCCCCAGGCGATTGGGAGCCAACCAGGGTCAATGCGGGCCCCCCCACCACCCCTTGTAAGAAACAATGCAAACACACACACCCTGCCTCCAAACTCGGAGCATGCGCAGCGAACCCGATGCGGCCTCCCCACACCATCCCTGTCAACAAAACAATACAGAGTACACTTGGCGGCGGCGGCGGCTGCGGCGGCTGCGGCGTGGCAGCGGCGGCTGCGGCGGTGGCGGCGGCAGTGGCGGCGGCGGCGGCGGGGTCAGCGGCAGCGGCGGCGGCGGCGGTGGCGGCGGCGGCGGCGGTGGCGGCAGCGGCTGCGGCGGCAGCGGCGGCGGCGACGGCGGTGGCGGCAGCGGGGGCGGCGGCGGCGGCGGCGGCGGCGGCGGCGGCGGGCGGCGCGGCGGCGGCCACGGCGGACGGCGGCGGCGGGCGGCGGACGGCGGCGGCGGGCGGCGCGGCGGCGGCGGCGGCGGACAGCGGCGGTGGAGTCGGCGGCGCGGCGGCGGCGGCGGCGGGCGGCGGCGGCGGCGTAGGCGGCGGCGGCGGCGGCGGCAGATTCGCTCCCAGTAGCTGCCCATCCAAAGACGACTTCTGAATATGCTGCGGTTCGGGCCAGGCTCGGGTGCTACGTGTGTGTTGGGAGGGCGGGTGGAAGTGAGCGAAACGGCTTGCGGGCGGGGAGGGAGCTTTGACCCCCCCCACCCACCTTCCAAACCGGTTGGGCCGGGCTCCATGGGGAGGGGCTTGGGGAGGGGGACGCATCTCACATGCCGTGACCCCAAGGGGCCGGCGGATTTGTACAGCTGAATGTGTGCTGATTGGGCGGGTTGTTTGCTTTTTGGGGTTCCGTGGTCGTCCCTCGTACTGTGGCGCCGCCGTGTGCCACTGTGTGGAGACTCTCCTGTTTTATCGATATAGGTTTAGCATAATGCTCTTTCCCGTGAAGCCCAACATTCCAGCTCACGGGAGGCCAGGATTGTTCGTACGTGTTTCAGGGAAGGATGTACTGTGGTTGCCGCTTTGTGGCTCAAGGCCAAAATGCATCTGCTTATCCTGCTGCTGCCACAGTTGGTAGCGGAACAGTGTTCGGCGCGGCATGCATGGGCGCCTCCAGGTACCGCTGATCAGCGGTGGTGCCGGGGGCATCTCGGGCGGCTGCGCGGGCGCTGCTCTCACCGGACTGGACAGAGCGCGGATCCACGGCAGGCATTGATGCCAGGGCCAGACGACACTGGCCCAGGAGACGAGAAGAACGAGACGCACGCCGTCATTGGCGGAGGGCGCTCAGCCCAGTCGGAGGGGACTGGGGAGGGGACGGCGCCACCGCCACCTGTCGGAGGCGCGGCGAGCTCGAGCCCACAGGTCACAGAGCAGCTGAAGCAGCTGATCCAGCAGGCCGTGAAGGACGCAGTGAAAAACCTCGGCCCAGGGCTCAGCAATAGCGCCGCCGGCGCAGATGACGACTACGGCGGCACCAACAGCGGCCGGCAGGAGAGCTCAAGGGGCCAGGATCCCTGGAGCGACGGCCGCGATCCATGGAAGAGTGGGCAGCCGGGGCCTGGCGAGAACAAGTGGGGCCCCGGGGGCCGACAGCAGCAGGGCACCAAGCGAGACGGCGTCAGGGACTCCGACTGGAAGGACGACGACAAGGGCGGCTGGAGGAACCACAACTGGAACGAGGGCGGCTGGTCAAAAGGTGACTACTCAGACCCGCCTACCTGGCCGGGATGGGGCCACTACCGCATATGGAAAAAGGCGATCCAGTGGTGGAGCCGCAACTGTGGAGGCGGTCGGAGCGCTTCTTGAAGCTGTTCGACTGGACGATGCAGGCGAAGTTCGAGGACATTAGCGAGAACGTGCTGTGCGGGCCCCGCTGGCTGGACACTCTCCTCGAGAGAATGGGCCTCATGAGCGGCCAGCGAGAGGGCGACGACATGCGCCGAGCAGGTCGCAGGGCACTGTTCGAGCGCACGAAGGGCTCGAAGGAGAGCCTCACGCAGTTCGTGGCGAGGCGCGATCAGCAGATGACCGACGCCGAGAGCCACGACATATGGATGTCAGACAAGATGAAGGGTCTCATGCTCGAGGAGGGTGCAGGACTGAGCGCGCAAGGTCAACAGAACCTGCGCGCCCTCACCAAGGGTAGCCTGGACTACAGGGACGTGGCCTGGGCTCTCAGGCAGCTAGACTACGGCAGCGGCGAGAAGCTGCTGCCTGGCAGCAGCGCCTCGCACCCAGTCTTGGCCGCAGAAGACGGCGAGGGCGGGCGGGGCCGCAGCTCTCTCCCTCTTCCTCATCCGCCCTCCCAGGCTTACCAGGTCTCGGGCTCCGGGACCGCTCGACAGGACGAAG